AAGAAGAACGATGTCTTCCAGCAAGCTGGCCAGAACGGGGCGAGTCGCCTTGGTGTCTGCCACATAGGCTACATCGTGCTGGGTGATCTCCGTCCCTGCTGCGAGGCGTGCCTCGGACCGGAGCATGCCGGCCGAGCGCTCACTCTCTGTTCACACTGCCCGTTCTTCGCCCTTCTGCCCCGTGGGGCGGGGCCGGGCGGATAGCTTTGCTGTTCAAGATGAGTAGGTGTGGCAGTCCACTCGCTCTCTGGACGAAGCCCTCGATCTTCTGTTGACGGAAGAGCAGGATTTGGATGGCTCCACTCTTCCCAGTCACGGGTCTCCGAGCGGCTCCGAGCTTCCCCCATTCCGACCTCCGATGACGCCGGCCTCAAAGCTACTAGGTTACAGCTTAGCCACTCCTGGGCCTCATGTCGGCGGCTGACATGGTGGTTCCCCTGGACCTTCTCCACATGAGGAGGCTGCAGCGGTGGTTCATCCGCCTGCGTGTCGACCCGGTGAGACAGAGACGGCGCCGCGTCTCCGTTCCCCTGTCTGTGGCCCCGGATTTGGCCTACTGGCGGGACCCCCCCTCTCTCTCTCGGTCGGGGTCCCCCTGGGCGGGGTCACGTCCCACATCTCGGTTTTCAGACGCCTCCCTGATGGGCTGGGGCGGAACCTGCCTCTTTCAGGTGGTGGGCGGTCTGTGGCAGGGCCGCAGGCCTCTCCACCTAAACGCGCTGGAGCTTCTCACGGTGTAGATGGGGATCCTACACTTACTTAACTGCTAAGGGACCAGCACATGCTGGTCCGCACTGACAAAAGGGCCGCGGCTGCCTACAGAAACCGCCAGGGCGGGGTGCGCTCGGCGCAGCTACTGGGTCTGGCCAGGCGGCTGCTCCTGTGGGCGCGGACTCACCTGCTCTCCATCAGAGCAGAATACATCCCTGGCGTGCTGAACCGAGGGGCGGACATCATGTCGAGGGGAGGCCCTCGCCCAGAGGAGTGGCGTCTTCATTCCGATCTGGTGGCCCAGATCTGGCTCCGGTTCGGCAGGGCAGAGGTGGATCTGTTTGCCAACTAGGAGAACACTCAGTGCGCCCTTTGGTTTTCACTGAACTAACCCAATAGCGATAGCCTTAGAGGGCGAAGCCTATACGAAATGTAACAGGGGTTACGTACTGTAACCCGTATTCAAGGAGTATAGGCACAGCCCTCTAAGTTGTAGGCCTCACTGGACATTGGTTCTCAGTGCTGAAGAAAGGGCATTTGGAAGCCGAAGGCCGGGTCTCACCGTTGTGTGTGTGTGTGTGTGTGTGTGTGTGTATATACAAGGTGCGGACATAGGAGAGGCATAGACTAAAATTGTCAGTGTCGCGCAGACGCGCGGAAGGGGTAAACCCAATAGCGATAGCCTTAGAGGGCTACGCCTATACTCATAGAATCCGGGTTACAGTACGTAACCCCCGTTCTGCGACCAGTGTTGTATTTGACGCATTTCGCCGCTGCTGAATGAATGACCACGCTACTAAAATTTCACACGGTCATCAATATGACTGTGACATTGATTTTCACCGGCACACCGTGCAGCAACACTCATCGCTGTTTTGGCTCCCTGTGTGCAAAGCGAGTGTGTGTGCCAGTGAAAGAGAGAGAGCGAGCAGCAGAATGGAGAGAACGTGACGGTGAAAGTTAGCAGATGAAAAGATTTATTTTTATTTAGAGAAACCGGGACAACGTACAATAAACATTAACCTCAAAGGGGAAGATGCATTGTACCGGGTTTTAGCTCAAGAGCTAATTTTCACCCGTAGTCCCTGGGCAGGCTGTTGTTAAGTTAAGATACATAAAAAACATACATGAATAATAAGATTTACAATGACAAAATAAAAATGTACAAAAGGAAAAGGAAATATATTGCTAGCTAACAGATCCCCAGTCTGTAAAGCACGGTTTTGGCTGCAGTGTAACGTTTAGCTAAATTAGTAACGGAGTAATGTTAATTACTTGCGATTACATTGTTGAGGAATGAGAACAGCAGGTTGAAGCTAAACTGATGTCCTGTACACATACTGTACATCCTGATAGTTAAGTTAAATTATATTTCAGTGTCCAGAGGTGTCGGACAACTGGTTATTAAAGGAAGGACACTGGTGACCACGGAGGAGCTGAGGCTACTAAAGTAAATCAGGGATGTAAACTAGTCTTTTAAAGCAATTGAGGAGACATTTCTTTTGGATTTTAATGTGCAAACGAAATGCTTAGTAATTATCCAGAAAATACACAGAAAAAAAAATGCATCAAGATGGATCGCTGCCCTCTGAATTGTAATCAAATCGAATCGTGAGGTGCCAAGAGATTCTCATCCATACTGCCCAAACAGTATTCCCATTCAATTACTTTAAAATGTCTTTTAATAGGCTACCTTTTGTGAAGTGGTTGTCTTTAATTGTCCACTGCATCTGTTAGGGCCTGTCCATAGGCTCGCCATTCATCTGTGACAACATCTGAGCCTCTTCTTACATGATGTTGGTCGGCAACAGGTCTTCTCTTGAGGGATCTTTCACCACCCTGACAATGAGTTTTCTTGATGTAATTAAGTTGTGTTTTTTTGCTAAACTGTAAAATGTTCAAAATTCATAGAGATTGTTCATAAAGTGAAGAAACGTAAATAAAAGTTGTTTTCCTGCACAAAATGTGTGTCACTTTACTTAAAGCAAACAATTACGTGTTATAAGGTCTTATAATTCATATGGTATTATGTCCACCTGTAATATATTATACAGGGATAGATATTTTAACACTTTACTTAAAGCAAACAAAGACATGCTATATAACATTAAACATTACTATAAGCTATTATTCCATTTTATATCACTAATTCTAAATGGGGACTAAAGTGTATTTATAACGAGGCAGAGTCGGTGGTTATAACGTACTGTGGAACATGGTCGGAGATTCTTGCCGCACATTGATATAAACTGTTATTACTATTAGTATTACTATAAGATTAAATCAAAAGTTATGAACTTTGCTATAGCGCCTAATGCATGTTTGTAAGTGATTATAACAACTGTTATAATGTCTTATGGATGCATTATATCGTGTTATAAATATATGCATTATATATGCAAGTCATTATAGCGATGACCTATATAGAAAGTGTTACCAAATAACTTTTTAAGACCTTTATAGCTTTATATTATCATTACCTGCTGCTTGAAGGAATACTTCACCAAAAATCTATTTTCTAAGTAGCAAATGTTCACCCACTGTAGGCTTAAAACTGTCACTTTTATGGAGTATTGCAGCTTGGAATCACTGATGTTACCCAAAATTAAAGCAAAAGAAATATCGAACCATGTCAAATTGTCCATAGACTTCAGCACCACTCCTTCAGCATAACCTACTTTTCCACCATTGATCCATATGTTCTTAATACTCTCCTTCTAGTTCCTCCACATCATTAAATACATTACTTCCCTCTCACGTCCTCATAGCTCCAGATCAAAGAATTCCTTTAACACCAGTTCCTCCATGGTATGTAGGTTTTCTCAAATGTTATTAATCTGTCTCCTCAGATGTGAAAAGGACTCTTGAACAGTCCAGTAAAGGGATTTGCCTCAGAGACCTTGTCGCCCATGATGCTGTCTCTCAGGGTTGGAGCAGGGAAGGTCCCAGCAGCCCAGTTTCCATCAGTGGACCAGAGCTCCCAGTGGACCCACAGGGTCAGACAGTGGGCTCTGACAGAGACAACTCCTCAGATGAGCTCAACAGCAAGTTCCGCTCTCAATGCCTTCACTCGTCCTCTTCCTCTTCCTCTTCATCCTCAGCCTATGAGATGGGCCATGGACCAAGCTCCCCAGAATCGACCATCAGAATAACACCCAAAAGCCCGCTTCTGTCGCGCTCTCCATCTACCAACAACCCCTTCCCACATCCTCCAGTTCACCAGTCAGGCGCCAGCATGACCTTACCGAAAGTACGGACTCCGCTCACCCCCAGAGACAGCATCCAGCTAGTCAAGAAGCATTACAGCCAGCCACAGCCCAGCCTGGACAGACTTCACCACCTCAACGTTAACATAGACATCATGACCCCATCCTCTACTTCCTCCACCCTCAAGAGCACAGGCACTGCCGCCTCGCCCTTCTCGCAGGTTGTGGAAGAAACCGACATTGATGATGGGCTTTCTGACAGCATGGACGGGGTGGTGGAGGGGTCAGGATCAGAGGAGCCATCACGAGATGGAGTCTCCTTTGTGGGACTCGCAGAAGAACTGGAGCGGCTAGATCCAGAGGTTCTCAAGCCACCAACTCCTCCTTTACACCGCTTCCCTTCATGGGTATGAGAGACCAATATTATCACTTCAACTTCTGCATGCCTTCTGTACTTTTTTATGCTATGCTTACACAATTCAATTTGATCCATTATCTTTTTGTTTCTGTCACTGCCTAAGGCTCAGGACTCTTAAAAACCATTACAGATTAAAGGAAAAGTTTGACACTTGCTTTGTCGCCTTGCGTTGGATGAGAAGATTGATACTGATCTCATGTCTGTTTGGTAAATATGAGGCTACCACCAGCAGTCAATTAGCTTATCTTAGTACAAAGACTGGAAACCGAGAGAAAATGTGTTGGCAAAAAGGCAATAAGTGTTTTCCCAAAATGTCAAACTATTCTTTAATAGATCTTTTCTGTAAAGATCTCAGTGACAAAATGTTCTACTGTGAATGTTCTTATAATTAATGTTGAAGTAAAGAGGAATATTCCTGACTTTGTTGACCCCTGCAGGAGAGTCGGATCTACGCTGTGGCTAAGTCAGGAATGAGAGTATCAGAGGCCAGTCCTGGAGCCAGGGGCCCCGGGCGAGGTGAGTCCCCTGCAGCCAGTAACAAGAAACTAGCCATCCACTCCTTCACTAACATCAATTTTGCTGCCAAAGTGAGGGATTCAATGTTCAGTTATAGTCAGCGTCACGCAGAGAGGAAGACAAAGTTTTTCGGGTGTAAGGTGGTGTCTAACTCCGTGTGTGCACTTGCCTGTCTGCGTGTGTGTCATGAGCCCTGGGTGGTGTAGGAGATGAGTCGGTACTGTGAAGTGACATGTCATTCAGCTGATGCTAAAGCTGCTGTGAAGATGTGTGTGGTTGGTTCAGATCTGTCATTGCCGCCTTTGATGTCACTTCCTCTGGCCTGAGGCTCCACACACCTGCACAGGTGTGAGTCCTCTTTAGGAGGCAGTTCATTCCACCTCCTACCATTTTTACTTTTTTAAAGAGCCAAGGAAGAGTATATGAGGGGGGAGGTTTAGAGGAGCTGAGGGAGAGGCTGGCATTTAATCAGCTGTGATGAAAGGATGTTTTCTGGGTGTAATTACTGCTATGCTTTCTGTCCAGACATCACCCATTTTGTCAGGATGTAGACAGTGAGGTTTGACAGCACTCTGACTATTGAATTTCCTGACTGCCAGATACACGGAGCTGACTGCCAAGTGGCTGTTGTGGATTAAGTCATAGCTTGCTCAGCTTATTCAGCTTCCTCTCATGTTTGTGCCTTAAGGTGCATCTGTTGGAACATTTTGATCCCTGGCAGAATGAATACCATGGACCAGTTGTATTTTGTTTTCGCTCAAGAATATTTAGAACTTTTGAAACTTTTGGTCCACTTTATAACCAGTGGGTTAGCATGTAGTGTATATTAAGGGTGTGACAAAAAATCGATACAGCATAATATCGTTATACATTTTTCCAAGATTCTGCCTCGATATTCCAGACCTTCATATTGATAAGAAAAAAAATAGCACTTTGACGGTTAGTTCACTGCTAACATATAATGGGAATCTCACAGGAATTTGTATTTTCAGCAAAACATTTAATAAATTCAGTGAATTTACATTTTTATGTGCCTTTTTATAAAGAAATGTTTTTTATAATAATTTTTCATAGTTGCTCTATATTTCTGGAATTTTAATTTAGAGACTGAAAAACATGTGCAGCAGAATTGTGCTGTTTTCTAACAGTTTGGATTTGCAGCGAATAAATAGAGAAAACTTAACCTTTTCACAGGCATTTTGTATTCATAGTTAGAGAGATATCGTGATGTATCATTTTAGGATTGTCTAGCAATGTATTGATTATCACAGGATTGCTTTATCGTGATATTATCGGTATTGTGAGCCATGTATCTTGTATATCGTATTGTGAGGTACCCTGTCATTCCTACCCCAAGTGTATATATATGAATTATATATCTATATTATGACTAAGGGAGCTATGTATTCCCCCTTTACAACTATACAGGCTCCTATAGGAATTACCATATCAATAGATTATTCAGGTAAGAGGCTGAAACCGTGCAACCGGCTACTGTTTAGCAAAAGTTACATAGTCTCCCTTAAAACTGTAAATATTGTGCTCTGTGGCATTGAGATGCTAATGTACATGTCCATATACAAATTATCATTAAATCAAATAAATTCTTAATAAGTGTTTTCCTGTGTATTCTGCAGGGTCCAACTTACCCCAGTATCCAGCGGCAGGTCCGTTCACCCAGTTGATCTATAAGAATATCAATGTACCAGTCTACACAACACTGAAAGGGGTGAGTGAAATGTTCAATAGTAATATCTGTCAAAATAACTGCAATGTGATTTTTCTGAGGTTTACTTTTGATGCAGCTTGTCAGCCACTTCTGTGTTGAAAAGCTCATCAGACTAGTTTTCATCTCTACTGAAAGTACTCTAGGTTTTGTTTTACCATACAGTACTCTTTCGAACTCTTCGATTTTTCTGTTTTAGAAAGCCACTCAGATCAGCAGTGTGCCTCTGCTTGACGATGACTCGGGGTCTGAGGACGACAGCAGCTCTCTGGCCAGTTTACGGACTTCCATCCTGAGCCCGGACAGGAAGGGCAGCGTCCCTGGGAGCCCGCGTGCCGTTAAGAGAGGTGAGCATTCCAGATTGCAGTGCAGACAGGAAAGTGAAAACTTGTACCGCTTAAATGTCACCATCTCAGGAACTAGGAAAAAACGGCCTTGCTTTAAGCTGGTTGATAATGTTGGTTTTAAAATAATCCATGAATTTTAATGAATTTTGTGTTTTATGAGCCTGATGGTGGGGTGGTGGTACAGAGGATGAGACACATGTCTTTGGTGGGAGAGACCTGGGTTCGATTCCCAATGCGACACATCCACCGATGTTTCCCTGAGCAAGACACTTAACCCTTAATTGCGGCAGAGGTGTGCGACCTTTATCACTTTGGATAGAAGTGTCAGCTAAATGAGTAAATGTAAATGAGGGAGTCCTCTCAGTCTCTTTCTCAACTCCGCTAATTCTTCAGTTTATCTGAAAACATTAACACAATCAAACCTAGCAATTGTTTGCCACTGTACAGCAACAAAAATACAGCATAAAATAGGGAGCAGTTTTTGCTGCTCGCCAGAATGGTATGCAAGTGCAAGAAGGAGATGATGTAGCTAAAGGGAAAGCAAAGTACAGCACTCAGTGGCTACAGATATCCACCACTTAAACTCAATGCAAATTAACTGCTGGAATGCATTGAGCATCACGTACTGATGATATCTAATAGTGATCTTAGAGTCTGGATATTCCATTCAAGAGCCTTCTGTATTGAAGGCTTGCCAGCTCTCAAAACATGTATAAATGATTCTTTGTTTTTCTCTCTTCAACCACTTCTAGTATGCCTTTCCTACAGTATCTTAATGTTTGTGGCTTCTCCTGTTTTCCTAGGTGTGTCCATGTCCTCCATCAGCTCAGAGAGTGATTACGCCATTCCTCCTGATGCCTACTCCCTAGACAGTGACTACTCCGAGCCGGAACATAAAGTCCAGCGAACCTCCTCCTATTCCTGTGAGAGCACTGGGCCTGTGAGTGGACTTACTGCTTTTTATAGTGGAGGTCTTTGTTAAATACCACCGTGTTAAAATACAGTATAACCAGTCAGTTGTTTTTAAATGTTTGTGTCTGTAGGAGATGCTGGAGAAATCTGGGTACCTGCTGAAGATGGGCAGTCAGGTGAAAGCCTGGAAACGTCGCTGGTTCATCCTGAGGAATGGAGAGATCCTCTACTACAAATCTCCTGTGAGTGTGTCTCGCTGTGAGCCGGCCTGTCTGCTTCCTTCTAAGGTCTTGCTAACTGCACAGAAAACATTGCATGGATACTTCAAGATTTTGTGTGTTTAAGCGCAAGTTGAACACCTCATCACTAGCAATGTTGTCAGTGTAAATTAAGAATCTTAAAAATTAAGATGTACATTAATGCATCTATGATCACTGCAGTTACAAACTTTGTGAAGGAATTTATAATTATAATGTTGGACAGAAATGAAAAGATTCTAATGCGTGTGTATATGTGTGTTTTGGTGTGTGTATTCAGAGTGACGTCATCAGGAAACCTCAGGGTCAAATTGAGCTGAACTCGTCCTGCCATATAGTACGTGGAGAAGGAGCACAGACCTTTCAAGTAAGTGGAAAACATGTCTGAAATCCTTTGCAAAGGATCCCAATTGTGCTTTGTCTTTGTATAAGAATACAAGAACAGAAGACAAAGAACATGTGATTTATGCTGAACACTATGACTACTTTCTTCTACAGGCTATGCAAGTAATTAACATGGTAGTACAATGTTTATAGTTCTACAATTCAAAAAACTGTGGCATGAATGAAAAATAGAAAAACGTATAGACATTTATTAGAGGGCACACGTAGCTACATGCACACCAGCACTCTTATTATAGCACAGCATCACAGCAGAGCTTTACAGTTGCATACCAGAGAAGAAGCTTTAAAGTGACATCAGGTATAGCATTGGCCTGGAATGTTTTCGTGGCTCTTGGGAAGCTGATTCTGATCTTCCCTGACACGATGATGCTATCTCAGTTGGCTTGGCTTAGCATTTTTCCCATATTTCTCCCTTTTCGTATAATCAGTTGATTACAGAGAAGAAGACCTTCTATCTGACCGCCGATTCACCCAACATCCTAGAGGAGTGGATCAGGGTCCTGCAGAACATACTCAAAGTCCAGGCCAGCAGCCCTGTCACCGTGGAGACCACCGCCAAACCCACTGTGAGAGGCTGGCTTACAAAGGTCAGGAAACAGAAGTCAAGATTTATCAGCTGAAGCATCTTAAAACCTGGTTTTGCTTATTCATTTACTTACACAGCCTTAGATTGGAAGCTCAATACCACTCTAATGTCTGGAAGCTAAATATGAAGTTACTGCTAGGAGACAATTAACCTAGCTTAGCATAAAGACTGCAAGCAAGGGGAAATAGCTAGCCTGGCCCCGTCCGAATGTAAAAAAAAAAAGTCAGCTGACTAATTTACATGTGATCTGTGTAAAATGTAAAAATGACAAGTTTGTACAGATTGTACAAAAGACATACTAGGTGCTAATTATTTAGCTTTAGGATGTGCTGGTGGATGGATATTTTTTTTAACGTTTGCTTGATGTTTCTGGTTATTATGCTATGTTAAGCTAAGCTAATTGGCTGTTGTCTGTAGCTTCCCGTTTAACGTCCATACATGAGTGGTTTAGTCTTCTTTTTTAATCTTTAATCTCTCAGCAAGAAAGCAAAGAATTTCGTACAAAATTAAATATTCATAAAAACAAAACCTCTTGAAAAATTACCATACAATTTTCCAGAATACAAATTCACATCTTAACAATACTTTTTGTCTGACCAACAGTTGAACACAAAATGTATATTCAGTTTACCATCTTAGAAAACTAAGGAAAAGCTGTAAATGTTAATTTTATTTAAGAAGCTGCTAAAAAAATCATTAATAGATTATCAAAATTGTTTTTATGGTGATCGAATAATTGACTTAATTGTTTCAGCTCAAGTTTCTGTAGCATCCCGGATCTCACAAATTCAGACTTACAGTAATAAAATCAAGATATGTGGACAATAATAAAACTTTTCTGTGTACATGTTTGTATTCACTGAAATAATGTCATTAATTTTATTGAAGAATTACATTTAGTTTTTTGTTTTTTACAAATCTGTACTTTCTTGCCCCACTCCCATTACATAGTTGCAAGAGGTATAGATTTGACTGGGCTTTCTCCCTTAAGAGGATGCCAGAAATAACTCATTTTCAAGCTTAATGTCCTCTTTCAGACATAGAAGTGTCTGTGACTGGGGCGGGAGGGTTTGACAGAGCGCTCTTCAGGCAGATTCTTGAAAGCCTCCTTCACGTTGGGACATGGCTATAAAGCCCGAGCTGCTGGAATGCTTGAGAGCTCTTTCCCTTCCACCCTCCTCTTTCCCGTGCCTTTCCTTAGCCATGGCCCGTCTGTTGCTTAAGTTAAGACACTTAAACATCTGACGGGTGTGTATGACGGGTCGATAACAGATGACTGACAGCCTCAAGCTGAGATGATGGAGTCCACGTCCTCTAGCCAACCCCCCAGTCCCTTCCTGGGAGTTGTCTTTGATCTTCTGGTTATGACGTGACCTCAGTTCAGACAGGGTATCAGTTAACCCTGGTGACCCCTTCTGAGGGATGCACAGCTGGCTTTGTGTTGACGTCGTCCTCCAGTGATATCATTGCTGCATTCATATTTCTAAAACTCTCTGAAAGAAGTCTGTCACAGAAATGATGTGTAATAATCATATTCAGCTGCATTCTTGGTTACAATGAAGTTGAATGCAGCAGGAGTGTGAATGGAATGTTTACATTTGTCAGGAGTTAGTTTGTCACTGAAGTTGCTCTTAAACGGTCTGCATCTACCTGCAGGTCCGATGAAGAAATTTCCTGACTATAATCTGTCAAACTTCTGAAGACTTATTTGGTCTTAGTTTCAAGGAATGCAAAAAAAATGTCCAGTCTTTACTACTGTTTTGAAATAGTCCTGTGACGTGCCGACACTGTCCTCAAACGTTCTTGTGTCTTCTTGTTTCAGGTCAAACATGGACATTCTAAGCTGGTGTGGTGTTCTTTGGTCGGAAAAGTCTTCTATTACTATCGTAATCAGGAAGACAAGGTTTGTAAAACTAGTCTCTCCTTTTTAAATTGATCTTTTGTAAGTCATTATTAACATATACCTCAAAAAGATTTTGCAAATACATGGTCCTTAACGTTTGTCTTAACCTGTACAGAATAATAGCATGCTTAGACAAGAAAAAAAGGTGTAATGATGCCAATTTAGTATGTTTCTTTAGTTAAACACACCTGTCTGTCTGTATTGAGTTGTGTCTTATATTAGTTACCGCCACATTTTGTTTTATACCTTGTTTACATGTTTTCTTTTTTTTGTCTCAGTTGCCTCTGGGACAACTGCAGGTGCGGGAGGCCTCAGTCCAGGAAGTGGATCGCTCCTGTGATTCAGATGAGGACTATGAGGCAGGCAGTCGAGGCTTCCTCTCCTCCCACTGCACATTAGTAGTCCAACCAAGAGACCAGAGTCCTACATACCTGCTCATCGGCACCAAGCAGGAAAAGGTACTGGAGCAGGCAATGCCTTAATAATACTGTGATATGTCCTTCGGTGTGGGATTCAAAGTATTTTTTAGTTCATTCATTTCTATTTGTACATTCATGCTTTTCTACACAGGATACTTGGTTGTATCACCTGACTGTGGCAGCGGGCAGTAGTGCAACCTTTAAAGTGGGCACAGAGTACGAGCAGCTCATTGTTAAACTCCTCGATGCAGAGGGAGACCCAGGTGAGAAATCACTGTTTCACAGCAAAGAAGCATGATCAGAAACTGTCCTCTGTGTTGAGCATAACAAAGATGAGAGATGGGGTTTTTTTGTGCTACTCTAGTTCAATTTTGTGTTGGCCTAAAAGTAGTAAAGGCAAAGTCTGTCAGGACTGAACATACATCAGCCTGTAAAATAATTTTGAATTATCGGTCACTAAAACCCACAAATTAAAACAAAGAAATTCCTTACATCATGACCTCAGTGGCTGTGCAATAAAGATGACACATTATGAAAATTCATAATTATTGTAACAAAGTACAAAAACTGGAAAACATTTGATCTTTTAACACTACATAGTCTTTGTTCACAACACTGGAGATATATTTGTAACACTTGGACGCATACAATAGATGCATAATCAGCTGCAAAGTCTGCCTGTAAGGCGGCACATATTTACTCAGTAGCATGCTACATGTTATTTTGATCTACTCTGTCTGACAGACTTAATCCACACTGCAGACTGTGTTTACGACTGGAGCACTGTGTGTGAATTCTTGTCAGCTGTTGAGTTATTTCAGTCTGTGCATGCGTGTTTGCGTGGGTTTATGTATGTGCGTGTGTGCTCTTCTTCTTTTCCCAGAATCTGTTTTGTGGAGGAGCGAGGCCTTGAGCTTCTGTAAGGAGGGCCTGCGCTCGCCTCTTACCACTCTGCCCTCTGAAGCTCTGCAGACAGAAGCTCTCAAGCTTTTCAAGGTCAGTCTCTCCGCCTCTCACCCCCCTTTCTGTTACTTGGGTTCTAGTCTACTCTTCCTTTCATCCCTTCTTCCAAATCTGTCTTTCCTTTTCTGTCCGGCTCTCACTGCGAGAGTCTGTTCAGTTCATCATCCAAACCCACTCCAGTTTGTCCCCACCATAGCCCCCATTATCCCCTCCTACTCCTGGATCCATTATGTGGCCATCGTCTTCTCTTCCCTCCTGCCTCTAAACCAGATCAAAGGCTTGAGGACGAGGGCCCCAGCTCATTAAAAGTGTGGAAAAGAGATAATGGCCTTGATTATCTGCTCTGATTGAGGCTAACCGTTCCTCTGCTTTACAGCCAGTGTGAAAGGAGCCCCTTTTAAAGAGGAGACATGGGAGGTCAGGGCCTTCAGAGAATGGCAGCAATGGATATGGAAGCCACAGGATGGGGGAGGAGAAATAAGATCAGAGCAGAACATAGACCTTGTACTGAAGATGGCAGATCCTTTTCCTCTCTTTTCAACCCTGTAGCCCTCAGTGCGCCCACCCAGAAGCCCCCTCCTTTGCCCAACTCATGCTTCACAGCCCCTTCCACAACAGTTATTGTACAACTACAGGATTGAAAGTTGAATGGATCGGCTCTCTCCTTGACCAGCCAGCCTTAAAAAACACCCAAACACACACAAAGAAACAGAATGAATGGAAGTGACACACTTTTCAAGTCTATGCTGTACTTGCTGATGCCTTTGAAGTATTAATGAATCTGACAAGACGGATGAAAACAGTTGAATTGGTTCTTTGTCTTCAACTGTCCCAGTGGATGAGAACAAAAATGACATACACATTTACGACTGCACTCTTGCTGACCCTGTGCAATTATTTGTGTTATTTTTAACTTTTTTTCTGACCTGAATATCATCAATTTGTTTGCTCTTTTAAGATGCATTTAAAATATGCTGCTTCCAGAAAATCTGCAGTATATGGTGTGTGTTTGCCTCCGCCTGCTGGTAAAGCAGTGGAATTAAGTATCAGATTCAAAATACTAAGAAAAATCTTTCCTTCCTCTTGCAGTCCTGTCAGCTCTTCATCAACGTGCTGGTTGAGTCTCCATCCATCGATTACCACACCTCGCTGGCCCAGAATGCTTTGCAAGTGTGCTTGACCCACCCAGAACTGCAGAACGAAATGTATTGCCAGCTGATTAAGCAGACCAACTGCCGGACGCCACACAACTACTCCCTCACACAGGTCAGCCTGGCCTTAACGGGTGCATGTGAAGGGCGAAGTGGTAAAACACCAAAAAGTGGATGTATTTGTTTTATTTTCACTTTTAATCATTTACAAATGACATAATAGGAACATAGGTGAGTAAACTCAGAGAATGTGAAGTAGTCGAACCTGCAGTGCTGAACTTTTGTCTCCCCTTCTGGCAGTGAAGCTGATGATACACAGAGCAACTTTTAGAACAATATTGCAGGGCAACGTTGCCGTCAACGGTAACGTGTAAAGATTACTACCGTAATCCCCTTCCCCCACCACTCCGCCACCCGCCCCGCATCGCCGCTATCCGTTCAAAACATAGTCGGACTTGCCACTAGCAAGATTGCCCAGCAACATTGCTCAAAAAGTTGCCCCGTGTATCATCAATGTTACCGTGTGCTGTATGCCTACAGGTAAGCTCATCCTTGGCTCGCAATCATAAAACACACAAATAAACAACAAACAATTTTCAATAATAAACATTCTCAAGGGGACTTTTTTTATCCTGCAATGGTGGATTATGGAGCCCCCTCATAGCTCTGGTTTGCTCCGCCCATTAGCTCTGGCAAACCAATCATTGTTCATTGGTGTAAAACACATCATTACCAGTGCACCACAGACACCAGATTTAAAATCTCTGGTATACTGATAACAGCAAGAGATTTGCCTGGTGGTGATGATCATGATTATATTATTTGATCCCGTAGACCAGTGGTTCTCACACTTTTTCACATCAGGGACCTCTAAACGAACACAAATAAGACCGCGGACCCCCATTTGATAAGATTTTGCCCCAGGATCCCCTATCTGATAGGATTTTTGCTTTTAGATGTTTTATTAAAGAAAGTATATGAAACCTATGATCAAAATAGTCCCTGGGGGTCCCCGGACCCCACTTTGAGGACCACTGCCATAGACACTCAACATTTGAGCCAAAATAGCCTAATATTGCTGTTTGACATAACTTCTGACTACACCAAATAGTTTTAAAAAAGGTCTATCCTAAGGCATTTATTAGTTTCTGACTGATGGGGGGGGAAACGGTATCCAAAAACTACTGTATCTTTGAACTCTCACACATGTAGGCTATTCTATGTGATCTCCTTTTGGTAACTAATGCATTAAGTTATGTAATATTGTTTCACTTCCATTCACTGAGCCTCCCCTGAAACAGTTTGGAGCCCCCCTATGAAGGCCCGCCTCACACTTTGAAAACCCCTGATGTATGTAAAAGTCCTGCAGTCCTGCATTAAGGTTTAATGAAAAATGCATAAAGTGATTTTCAGAGATCCTGTAAGTTGAAGTTTTCCTCCTTTTACGGCCTCTTCTTGTAGTGCTGGCAGCTGTTGTCTCTGTGTGTGGCTCTGTTCCTTCCCCAACAACATTTCCTTTGGTACCTGAGACAGTACCTGCAAAGCAATGCCGACCCAAGGTGAGGTGCTGAAAGCCTGTAGCTGACCCATGATTCTTTAAAGTAAACAATTAGTGCATTGTTTACATCTCTATCCTTTTCCCTCAGGAGTGAGGTGGGGAAGTATGCAGTGTACTGTCAGAGGTCTGTGGAGCGAACACTGCAGAATGGAGAGCGGGAGGCCAGACCTTCTCGTATGGAGATCGTCTCCATCCTGCTGAGAAACCCATACCATCATTCACTGCCATTCAGCATCCCAGTCCACTTCATGAACAACACCTATCAGGTAACACATAGTCACAAAAGTACAACATACTATCTTTGTGGTGGCTCGAGCTGTATCCACCTAATTATCTTGTCTTATATCTTAAAGACACCAACACACGTCTTCTTTTTAGAAGCAAATCAGCTCATATTAATTAAATAATTATTGGTTTGCAGCTCACTCACTCATGTTTAGCAGCAGATTTTCCTTAAGAGGGAATAGTTATATGCGGTGTGCAAACTATACCATCCATTTCAGGGGGTGGGGTGCGTGTGCCTCAGAGTGGACTGACTATGAGTTGCATGTTGCTGCAGAGAGTCCCCAGCTGCAGTAGCATATGGATCATGCGTAAAATCTGGAGCGTCTGACTTAATCCAGCCAGAGTGAACGATCACCAATCGTCTGCAGAGAGGGAGTGGGGCGCTGCAGCATACAGGGCGAGGGAGAGGAGGTTGCGGAGCAGCGTGCTGCGCTGCAGACGATCTGGCTGAATGAAGCCCGATGCTCCTGATTTTACACATGATCCATCATGATACAGACAAATAGAAATGAATAGCAGAAATAGCATATTGTCAATATTTTAGAGACCCCCCAAAATTTCACAAATTGTGTTTTCAGGGGAGTTCATGTCTTATTAAGAGGAGCCAAGCTCCCACTGGCTCCCCCGTAGTTCGCACCCTGTTTATATGTATTTTTGGTCCGCTCCTACACTTTCCAAACTGTGCTGGCAGGAAAGTGATAGCAGCATCTTTTCATACCTGCAAATGTTATGACACATTGATGTTGCCACCTACAGGAAAATTAAGTAACAGCTGCTTCTACATATAATTTCTCCTGCAGGGCGAAAGTGCCAACACAGTGGGATCTGGGTAATGAAATATGTGCAAGCAAACACTTGTGGAATATTTCTTTTTAAGACAAATACTGTATTTTTGGTGTTTACCTTGAGATCGTCACAACAGAAAAAACTATTATTTGTCTTCGTAATAACGTTCCAGAGTTGTTTTGGGTCTGTTACGTCTTCAAACTCATGCATTTTCATTTTATCATCTCACTAGTTCCTGAAACAACACGACTCGGTCTTGTTTTTGGTCTTAACTCCCTCTTACAGCTGCAGTTCTAATCTGCTGCTGCTGCCATTACTTTTCTTGCTAAAAGGTTGCACAGTTTGGACTGGAACTGCAGGATCTTCAATTACAGATGATGTGACTCCACTACCGAGTGATATTGGCTGGTTGTGGTTTCTGGTTTCTCCTCATCAATGAGATTTGTCCTTTGTTTTCTCATGTAGGTGGTGGGTTTCGACGGCTCCACCACAGTGGAAGAGTTCCTCAATACGCTGAACCAGAGGATTGGCGTGAGGAAACCACAGCTGTCTGGGTTTGCCCTCTTCACTGACGATCCATCTGGCAAAGACCTGGAGCACTGCCTGCAGCCGTCTGCCAAGGTAAGAGTGTGGGTCACTGAACTTAAGTGGATGGAAGAAAACCTCCATACACCACTGAGGCTTTTGTGGTGCATTTATTCAAATTTGGCTCATGTTATTTTTAAAGAGTCAGTAGTAGGAAGTGAAAGACTAGTTCGACAAATTAAGGCTGTCCAAACGTTTTGGTGACTTTTTGATGTTTAACTGTAGTCATATTCCAGGATACTGTAGCCTTCCTCTGTAATTTATTTCCACTCAATAATGCAAAAAGTGGTGGCTTCCATTTTATTTTCATTGTGGTTAGTCAAACTGTTCTATTACATTTAACCAGCCCACCAGACAGTCAATTGACTACATTTATAACTCTGTCTGGCTCATTCAGAAAACAAATGGACTCTACTCACTCAAAGTGCTTTACACTGCTACATTCATGCACTGATTTCAGAGGCTACCATGCAAGGTGCCAACTGCTAATCAGAACAAAACTAATCATTCACACACCAATGGCACAGGCTTTCGTGAGCAAATTAGGGTTCAGTATCTTGCCCAAGGACACTTCGATTTGTGGGCTGTGGGGAGCCGGGGATTGAACAGCTGATCAATAAGTGGGCGACCCGCTCTATCTCTGAGCCACAGGCGCCCCACAACCAGAAATAAGGTACAAGCTTCCATGTGTCTGACAGGAGACTGAATTGTATCCCTTTTGCCAGATATGTGATGTCATTTCCAAGTGGGAGCAGGCTCTAAAGGAGCTGCATCCTGGGAAAAACGAGGGGACACGGATTGTCCGTCTAACATACAAGAGCAGGTAGGATTTCTGTTGTCATATCTGGGATTTATAAGGCTCAACTCACACACATATACACACACACACAACCTCAGCATCTTTTATTACATGGTCACAAACATTTGTCTAAAGAAAAGGCCTTTAAAAACAAAACAAAGACCACACAATAAAATATGGGGATGCGATATGTGAAAAGTGTTGGGGTTAGTGTGCATGATTCCAGCCTCTACCGGAAAACAAGTTTCATGACAACTTTATCTTCATTTGTGCATGTACAGGTTGTGTTTCAGATCTCAGGTGAAAGGAGAGACAGAGCGAGAGCGCCTCCTGCTGGCGTACCAAGTGAATGATGAAGTTCAGCAGGGCCACTTCCCTGTGAACAAAGAGCTTGCTCTTGAGGTGGCTGCCCTCATGGCACAGGTCTGTAAAGATTAGGTGATCCTATTGGACTGAAAAGACTTTTGTTTCTCTTTTTAACCCGCTCTCTTTGGTTTTTCTTATTCAGATTGAACATGGTGATTTGGAGAGACCAGCTGCCTCCTCTCCAACTGGCTCTCCTCAGCCTAAGTCTCAGCTGATTCTTCTGCAGGCCTTAGAGCGCTTCTACCCCAAACGCTACAAACAGGACTTCAGCTCAGAGGAGCTCAGGTAAAACAAACACAATCTATAACCTGCCAACAGAATGATCTCATACAGATTTGTTTAATGTATTTTGCAACAATAACAGAGTCTGACAAACATAGTGGTGGCACTATGTCAGGCCAGATCAGACACAAATACTGCAGCACGTTCTCATTGTGAATTTTCTACAGATGAGACTTTGACCAAAGTCCCTTTTCTCATTTCAGAGATCTTACTGAGCGTCTGGCCACTAAGTGGTCTATGCTACATGGGTGCAGTGCACCCGAGTGTGTGAGAATATACCTAACTGTGGCTCGGAAATGGCCCCTGTTTGGTGCCAAACTCTTCAGTGCCAAGGTAAAAAAAAAGAATACTTGACATCAGTTCACTTCGCTCCTTGTTTATTGTCTGTTATATTCAGTCCTAGCTTTGAAGTCTTACTGAAAACAAACATGCTGTCTTGACACAAACTCTACCATTCATCCAAAGTAAAAAATACACTTTTCATTTGGCTTGAGCCCTAACACAAGCACAGGTTGGACCAGTTTCAGACCTTGAAGAAGACCCAGAGGGGAAGCTGTAATGTTAAGATGGATTACACCTTTAACTTGACCTGTCTCTGATTCCACTGTCCACAGCCTGTCCCGCCCTCTCCTGTTGAGCAGAGCCAGGTGTGGTTGGCAGTCAATGAAGATGGATTGTGTGTGCTGGACTATGCAATGGTGAGTTTCAAACTGTGTAGAGCAAATACCTCCATCAACACTATCTCTGTCCTGTGTTGTTACATAAAACAGTATTCAGATCCTTAACTTTGAAAGTACTAATACCACATTGTAAAAATACTTCAAGTAGAGGTCCTGCATTCAAAACAGTATTACTAGCAATATGTACTTAAGTATCAAACTTAAAAGTATTCATTGTGCAGAAAAATGGTCCCTTTTAGTGTTATAACTATTGTTCTTTTGTATGTGTTTGGATTAATATTACTGCTACGTCAATGTGTATGTTGCATTTAACTGATGTAGATGTTTATGGTTGACCTAATTTTAATTACTTTATATACTGTTAGGTAGTTTAATCTAAATGCATCATATTCTATCAGATCATCACGTTTGTAGCTCTGTTGTTGTCGTGTGAGAACCACGTATTTTTTAAGTCAACTTTTCATGAGCTCAGAAAAACAGCTGTTTTTAACGTTGTGACGATAATATTATTATATAATATTTTCCAGCTAATCCAAGCAGGGTTTAAACGATGCATTCATTGTAAATAACCAAATTTGGAGATATATGGTTTTCACGGCAGGAAGGGTATGAACAATTATAACCAGAAACGTAACTAGAAACTAAAGCTGTCAGACAAATCTAGTGTAGTAAAAAGTTCAATATTTGCCATTATTATTTATATAAATTGGAAATACTTAAGTACATAGCACATCAAATTAGTACTGAAGTACAGTACTTGAGTAAATGTATTTAGTTACAGTCCGCCACTGCATAAAATATGAAAAAGAGAATGAAGTTTATTTACATTTTAGTAAATAATTTTTACACTTGCTTCAGTTTATAGCTCAAAAAGTGAGTTCCTGTTTGTCTTCAGTTCTCAGCTGGCTGGGCCACAGCCACATAGCTTTGTTGATACACTGTTCTGGAAGGATTTTTATTCTGTGGTGTTTCAAACACCAGAAATCTACAGGAAAATAAAATGGCCAGCCTCTTATTTGACATTCTTGACCCTGACAGGCAGCAGTTCCAACATGTAAACGATGTTAGCTTCAGCTCTGTAATTTTCAGCAGCCCATGTTGATCCATTTCATTCTTGGTCTGGCGGGCAGCGTTGCTCATGCGCTTCCAGAAAGTTGCTCGAAATTATGTCCTGCTTCACACTCAATTTGCCCTTCAAAAAAGCAGAAACCAAAATGATTTCCCAAATGAATTACGTGTTTTATTTTGGGATCAGCAGTAAAATCTGAACATGCTCCCTGTTTACATCAGTTTCCCTGCACATTTCACATTGGCATTGCTTTCATTTTTCAGCACACGCTGGTCACATACTCCTACCAGTCTGTGATTACTTTTGGTGGTTGCCGTGATGATTTCATGGTGGTCACGAGCCAGCAGAGGGAGCCTGGAGTCGGGAAGAAGAGCGTGGAGAAGTTGGTCTTTGCAATGGCTAAACCAAAGGTAAATGTCATGAGTACGTTATATAACATAACATATAGACATAATAGATAAACAATTAGTTAAATGTAATAAACAGCTGAACCAGGTAGCTAAAATTAATGTATAGTTAAAAGTAATAAACAGTTGAAATGGTTAGTTAAAAGTAAACAGTTGAAGTAGTTAGCTAAAAGTAATGTGTAAACAGTTGAAACAGCTAAAGTTACTATAAACAGCTGAAATACATAGCTAAAAGTAATGGAAGTTAAAATTATTAGCCAAAAGTATACACAGCGAAACTGTTAGCTAAAAGTTACAGTTAAATGGCAGCCACTGTATGTATGAATCCAACCTTTATCAAACCAACCTTACAGTTCAGTTGTGTGAAAAAAAAAAAATTGTAACTGTATCCACTTAAGTGTCAAATAACATCCAACTGAAAATAAATTCAAATGATAACATGACATATGATGTTGATGAAGTGGCAGTTGAGTTTATTTGATATTTCTGGGGGGTAAGGGGGCAGTGGCGGGAGTAATTAAACGTGGGTGGGGGGATTGAGCGTTCAAGGTGTTGAAGTACTTTGAAGGAACTAATGGAAGACCAAACCCAGACTTATTCATGGTCACCTGTTTGACATACCCTCACGACCTACAGCTAATGGAGACAACAGGTTGTTTCTCATATTTTATGTGCAGAATCTCAATGGAGCTTTAACGCAGTCATATTACTTGTGTGTGTGTGTGTGGTTAGTGAGAGTAACTTCATTCTTGATTGCAGATCAGTAGGGTGTCTCAGGTTTTCACGTCTTTTGTGAGCCACTCTGGGCCTTCAGCTCCCCGTAATCAAATGAAACACAATCACATCATCATGTTAAAGCCATTAATCCCTCTCTGATCTGACCTGTTTGTGCCTTTGTCTCAGATCCTGGAGCTAACTCTGCTAATGGCCAGCTACATGAACCACTGGAACCCCAGCCTCCCGTCTGCCTCACACCAGCCCCTCGGCCACTGGGACGTAGAGAGTAGGCACTTCCCTGCAATGAACTACACCACCAAGGGCCCCACACTACTGTGAATTGAGCAACAAGAACAACAAAGACTGATTAACTACCGGGAGGCTTGATGGCAACAGTTACCTTTAGTCCGCTTTGGATTGCATGCTCGGGTACTAGATTAAGTGTTGGTTTTTTTTAAATAAATTTGATTTAGAAATGTCAGGATCAGTCTTGTTAGACTATTTATTGCTACAATGAAAGAGTATTTCAATTCTGCAAGATCATGTTCTAATTCCTTGTTAAGATTGGAATTATTTTTACTATACAGAAGTAGTGTGAGGACTTGTCGCCAACTCGTCACATTTCCATGTGCAGTGTGATCCTTTTAGCCATTGCTCAGATTTTTTATTTTTGTGTTTTCCGGTCTTTCAGACCTCAGGCTCTTTTTATTTCATAAAAACAAAGCTGTTGCCTTCTGAGAGCCGGTTTGACTGGAATACAGTGTTGTGCGTCACTGTGTATTTGCCATGAATGATCACTTGTACTTGACAATGCACCAGTTTAAAAAGGTACTGTGCAATTAGAAAGGGAATGATATGGCTTTTGATACTCTAGTTTAATAGTTTTTAATATCTTAATTGGATATAATCCACATCTAATATTACTCTAATTTAGAACAATTATTTTCATTATAGATGATTTTCTTAATTTATTGATTAATTGCCTGGTCTATAAAATGTCAGAAAAGAAACAAATGTCTTTGGCAGGTTTCCAGGGCCCATGTTGACAAAGTTGTTTTTTTTAAATTAAGTTTAACGTCGTAAAAAATAAAAAAGAGAACAAAAAATCACAAATGAGCTGCTGTAACCACAAAAAGATTTGCTTTTATAAATTACAATGATGACTAATTATCAAAATAGTTGCAGATTAATAATTCTACCAATTGACTAGTCAGTTAAACAGCTCATTGTTTCTACTCTTTCCTAATAGAATTTGGTTTTCTTTATAAAATAGGGGGTAGCACAGCATTTTCCCCCCAAAGAAATTAAGGTCATATTTAACCTTTTTTGTAATCTTTATGTTGTTTTTAACAGAAAGTTACTATTTAGCCCACTTGTCTAGCATAAAGCAGGCCAAATAAAAGTGAAGTGAAGAATTTGGTCATGTTACTGAGGTATTCAATAAAACAAGGGGATATAAAAAGGTATGTAACTGTATCTGTGAAGTTTTACCAGTGCAACATGTTTGTATGTAAATTTTTCTGCTGGTTCTCTAATAACGTATTTCTCTGAAACTCGTAATCAGGTCACTAAGTTTTAGTAATCAACAATCAAAAGGAGATGACAAAAAAGAAAACAAAGAGCTACCAAAATATTTTAATGACTTGAACTGTTTTGGATCAAACCACTGTTTTGCTCGTGTCCATATTAGTTATTTATTTTACTTCCCGGCATTTTTTGGCTTTTGCTTAAAAGCTAATGTTTCCACAACTGTCACATTTATTTTGGAAAACGTACAGTTTCCTTTCTGTAGCAGAGTAATTTAAGAGCAGTGTATGTTTGGTTAGTGAATCTGTACTAGAATGTGTTACAAATGTTTGAAAGATGGCATCTCTGTGTTGCCTGTATGTGTGTGACAAAAAAAATAAATGATACAACCCTGTGTTTGACTGTTTTCATTGACTTTTTTACACTACTTTTTCTCATCTTAATTTTATTTTATACCTTACTGTAGTACAAAGAAACAAAGTGCAATGTTTTTAGACACAAAACTTCTAAAATATAATTTGTTAGAGCAGAATATAAGGAGCTAGCTTCACCTCAAACTGTTTCAACATTTAAATGCTGCTTAGTTTTTCCAATAATATATATCATAAAAAATGAATGCAAAATTACATATTAATCACATTTTTATTTAGTTTATAGCTGTGCTTCACTGTTTAGCATTACATGAGACAAAACCATGCACACATGTAAATCAAAAACTTCAGTATCTAACTTCGGAAGTTTATAATTAGTTTGCTCACAATCATTAACTCAACAATAACAAAATATGTTTGTATTCTCACAAAGCGCATTTATGGTTTATAGATATATACCACTCTGAAGGGACCATACTACTGTGAGTACTTTTAAGTACGTTTAGTTGATAATTCTAATTTAACTTCACTGAAATTCAGTTTTTAATGCAGGACTTTTACTTGTAATGGAGCATTATCACGGTGTTGTATTACTACATTTCCTTAAGTAAAAGGATCTGAGTACTTCTTCTACCACTGATACCCTAAGTATTTTTTTACTTTTTAATTTTAGTATAATTACAATGAAAACCCTGAGGATTTTGCTGTTATGTCTCTTTATGCTTCACAGTGATTACAAAAACTGCAGCAACATTTTTACAGTACTTAGAAAACTTGAAAGTCTCAGAATGTTCTTGAACGCATCATTCATTTTCTTGGCTTATTTTCTTGAGCAGTAGCAAAAACTCTGATTGGCTTTCTCTTACAAAACACGTTTTGCCAGTAAGTAGTAATCTATTGAGGAAACACAGGGTTTATGCAATTGAAATAAAATTCATATTTTAGTCAAAACCTCTCTTGGAAAACAAGAACACTGTTTCTACACTATATACTAAAGTCCTTCTTCCCTCATTCAACACATCCATAAACTATATACTTACCCTCTGTGCTGGTTGTACACAGCCTGCCCGGTCTGTGTGTTTTATTGGAGTCGAGGTTGTAGGGGTGGAATCTGTTCTGCTTTTTCTTATCCAAGGGGGTCAAAGTGGTAATGACATTTTCCTGCCAAATATATGCTGTAAATCCCACATTTTTATAGCTTGTCTGAAGCTCTTGTTGTTCCATAGCTGCTCTTATACAGAATGAAAATGCTCGTTACAGGGCTCACTGCTGAATTTCTGCATGCCTTCACTGCTCATCAAAAAAGAAAATAACTTTTCTAACTTTTCCATGGTGCGGTGTGGCTCAAGCCGCATGCTTCAAAAGAGTTCAAATCAAATTGAATTTAAAGTAAAAGGTTCCAGTGTTGTTGGATAGATGGGGATTTTGTTGCTCTGACTGTAAACTCTTAACAGTATTTTACTGGCTGACTATATGTTGTATGAATTATGAAAAGGACACGATTTGAAAAACAATATTTACCTAGAATATAGAGGGATGTGCATAGTTTAAAGCTCATTTTAAATCATGAAAAGCCTTGTGTGTTCTTTCTTATAGGCATGTGATTGCGTCTTCAAGTAATGCATTTCACAAGCATCTTTTATTATGAGACGTACAGTATATGGTTGTAAAATATTATTTCAGGAATGCAACTAAAGATTCATTTCATTATCGATTAATCTGCCAATTGTTTTTTATTAATCAATGTTTTTGAAAATAGTTTTACTTTTTCAAAGCACAATTTGACATCTTGTTATTGCTTGATCTTGACCAACAGTCCAAAACCTAAAGATATTCAGTTTAATATCATAGAAAACACAGAAAAGTAAAACTCTTAATGCCACGCTGCAAATTTACTCTCTGCATATAAAACATTACATAACAGGATTATTATTACATATGTGATAATGAATAACATGAATAAAAATACCAAAGTTACACTTTAACCTCTTACATAGAACTATTTTATTGTAGTTGAAGTGACCCTTTCATCACCCTGTGAACTGTTT